CCTCCCCCTTAGAAATTCTTTAGCGACGCATCTGTGAAAACAAATTCAAAATTGTTGGCTGCCTTTTGTGCAGAATTATTTCGACACCACCCCCTTCCTCCTCGCACTACTCTAAAGCCGCCCCCTGTGAAAACAAATATAACATATTATTATTGACATACCTTTGATGCTATGTATAGGCTGGTGAGACTAGTCGCAATGTTAGCGTGTGAGATCATCGCTCCTTTGGGAGTACCTGAAAAGAGATGGAAATAAGAAAACATGAGGAAATGATTATTGTTTAAGCATTTGATATATTCATATAGTTCAGATAAAATAATGAATGAAATACTGTGTGATCTCTAAGATGTATGTACTTTCTAAAAGTTATTTATTTGAAATCCATTAAATAAATTCTGGGAAAAATTGATCTCAAATGATACCAACAACAACAAAACAAAAACAACAACAAAATCATATCTTTCCCCGGATCTAATAGTTTCTACGTCTCACTACTTTGGGAGAAACATAATGCAGGCCTTAGAATTGTGGGTATATAGCCCATCCTTCAACTTTACAGTGGTGAAGTGTGACGTCATCAAAAATCTATTTTTGGAATCTCTCAATTTTTTCTTCATTTTGCGAAAGAGCATCAAAATAATGTCCAAATGTCGAAAACCAATTGAATATTGTTAAGTAGGGGCTGAGATATGATCATCTGAATAAACAGATTTCCTATAGGAACTCAGTGTTATATTGCTCTGGTTCATAATATTACGAGCCAGAGCTTATTGTGTTGAACGAGCTAGTCCCGAGTCTAAGATAACTATAACTTTAATTATTACGAGGAAGCGCTGAGTGGGATAACAGTGGTCTCGTAAACGGAAGGTCCTGGGTTTGAAACCACGTCTATATTCTAATGCCCTTTGGTAAGGCATAAATCGTTATTAATAAGCCCCTCAGAGAGGACTTAAAGCCGTCGGTCCCCTGGCCACACCGATAAACCTTTACCATAAAGACTGCAGGATACTTGAGCAGAGTTTCACGAGACCGTCATAAGTACTACGTGAACCATTGAAACGTGTTTACTAAATTTTAGACGCGTTTCAATGGGATGTCGGTGAACTTGTACTTGTACTGTTAGCGCAAGTTATTTTTATCAGTAATAGTTATCAGTGATATGGGTCGGTACTTTACCTAATTCTAATAACAATAATTTTGTTTATTCAGGGAAGCCTCACCAGCTTCAATGCTGTTCTTTCTGAGTGTCCTGCAGTCATTATTACCCCAGCAAATGCTAGGTAGGCCTACACATTAGCACCTGGGTGGAGAGTGGCAAACGCGGATTAACGTCTTGCTAAAGGACGTTAGTGCTGGGATTGGATTCGAACCACCAACCAAGGGATTAAGAGTCAAGAAAATGAACCACTACACCATGACACGTCCACATATCAAGTTTTGAATATGGTGATTGGACAAAGAAAGCTGAGATTGAAGTACATGTATCTCACCTGTCGTGCCGCTTGTAAATCGAATAACGGCCACATCGTCTGGTTTGCCCGGCTTTCGAAAGGAGAAAAAAAAAGAAGATGAGAAAACTTTATCGTTCCTTTCTTATACATCCTTTATCAAACTAAAACAATACAAATAATTGCTTTAAAATTAGGAAGAGAAAATGAGATCACTTACAACGGGTCTTTCATGTTCCGCTCGCCTGCTGCTACGAAATCTTCAAAAGTGACTACGTCAATGTCCATTTTCCCCGCCTTTTCTGTGATCTCGTCTGTGATTGGTCTTTCCATGACGACCACGTGCTTGATGGTTGGTAATTTGGAGCGTTGATCCAACAGACTATTCACTTTGTCCATGGTATCGACTACAATGAGCTTCATTTCAGCTGAACGAGAAAAGAAAAAAACACGAAATAAGATATTACTGGAGATCGCGCTCTTCAAATGCAGGGGAGCTACTACTACTACTCCTACTACTACTACTACTACTACTACTACTACTACTACTCCTACTACTACTACTACTACTACTACTCCTACTACTACTACTACTACTACTACTACTACTACTACTACTACTACTACTACTACTACTACTACTACTACTTCTACTACTACTACTACTGGAATGACAAGCAAGAAAGGAGAACGGACAATTCAAAAGATGAAATGAATGTAAGGTAATGTTTCAAGTTTCAAGTTTAGTTTATTTCCACAATCTGATAAAAATACAAAACAATCAAAAGACAAACAATAATGGTGGGATCGACAATAGGCCTACAGGCCGGTCTATGGTCAATCCCTTAATTATATACATGAAATCATATTTAACAAGAACATAAACTAAGTAACTAACAATACAACAACAGCAACTACAATAACAAAACAAAACGGATGGGTAAAAGGAATGGGAGAGGAAGGGAGAAGGCACATTAATATAAATTTAAAAGATGATTTGTATATGTTCGTTTAAAAACTGGAAGACTTTTGGTACATTTTAAGGTATTCGATAGATTATTCCACATGATCGGCCCTGAGTATTTGATGTAAGAGATACTTACTGAGATTGATGATGTATTCATACCCATCTGGTCCTAGTGTGCTGTAAAGCGGCACACTTATCATCGAGTAAGAAGAACAGCCCAAGTCAGAAATGACCCACTGTTTGAAGACAAAAATATATAGTCCTCTTGAAAATCTACAATGATTTTACATGTTATTCAAGGCTAGAAAAAAACTCTGCTAAGAGTCATGATGACGAGTTCATACCTTTCATCCGATGGCACTACACCTTAACCCATGCGCGGATCCACGGGCCGATTCTACCGGCCCGGCCCCCCCCCCTAGCCTCCCAAACCGGTTAAAAAATAGGATAGTAACGTAAATTTTACCTTAAAAAAAAAACGCCCCCCCCCCCTGACCTGCCAGTGACACAAATGCGGCATCAAAATATTTGAGCTTCACTGACCGTATTAAATGCCTAAAACTACCGAGCTTCCGGGGGCTCCGCCCCCTGAACCCCCCCCCCCTCCCTCCCCCCTCACACCAATTTACGCTCGCTACCCTCTACCTGATCGTAAATACTTTAGCCCCCCACTTTGATAAACGTTCCGCGGGGCCTGTGTATATAATATATACGCATACAACACTGATCTTTATGATTTCTTTAACGTGACATATCTTCTTCTCCCCTTGCAAACGAGAAAGAAAACAAGGTCATTAAAAGGGATTAAGCGACAAATAATGATTGTGATTCAAATTGATGCGAATATTTGTTTGAATAAGCAATGCTATTCACCAGAATCTTCTTTGTAAAAACAACTTTTACAAATCTCAGCCATGCTTATTGAGTTGAAACGTTCCATTCAATTTAAAAAAACTCATCAAGGAATACACTTCTCCTAATCTGAAAGGGATCTTACAACACAGTGGCAGAATTGCATGGCTGAGATTTCTAAAAGTCGTATCAAGTTGAATCAATTTGAATCACAATGATCTTTTTGTCGCATGATCCTTTTATTAAATAACCTTGTTTTATGTTCTGTTTGCAGGGGGAGAAGAAGCTATGCCACGTTAAGAAATCATAAAGATCAGTTGTATTATGCGTATATACGTATGATAACAGAACAAAATGTTGATTATCTGAATGTCATTTTGGAATACCTCTATACAAATACTCGATCTTACTGTGCCGATACCACATTGTCTTTAGCCCGTATCAGTATTAGTATGAGCCAATATAAAGTTATTATTCTTTATTCAGTTCAGTATAATGCTTTTCCTCAAAAATAGTTTCGCTATTTTTTTAGGGTTGAGACGCTAAGAAATGGTTTCAAAGTACATTACACTAACCCTGAACCATTGCATAATGATGGTGGTCTCTCTCTCTCTCTCTCTCTCTCTCTCTCTCTCTCTCTCTCTTTCTCTATTTATTTTAATCATGCATTATCAACTACATATAAAGCAGCAACAAAAAACTTAGGGTTATCTGGGATAGGTGAAAGTGAGAGTTAAAAAGAAAGTCATGCTAAAACGGCGCTTCACCTCCCCCCCCCCCCCCGAAAAAAAAATGTTAGTGATCGTCCTCTCCAGCATCCCCCCCCCCCCCCCCCGCTTTAATATTCACCGGCCGGCTGAGTCGGCGCAAAAATGTTCCCCAAAAACTGGACCCCCGAAAAAAATATATGTGCTCTTATCCACCCCCCCCCCCCCGCTCATTCGCCGTTCGCCGGCTGGCTGATTCGCCACTAAATATTTTCTCAAGATTTACCCCCCCCCCCACCCCCCCCCCCCCCCCCCCCCCCCCCTCTAGCCGCCGGCTGGATCCGCCCCTGCCTTAACCTAAACTGAACTCTAAACCGAACCTAGAGACAGGTGTTTTTTTACCGACATCGCTACCACTGGTGTAATGTAATTTTGATGCGCCATCTTTCGATGAAGGCGTACATAGAACAAATTCCGGTTTCTGCGTCGCGCAGGCGGTGATGCATTGTGGGACATGGCTGTTCACCCTTTGGGACATTGTGAGCAGCAGATGGCAGAAGAAGTAAATCTTAAAGGTGTAACGAAGTTTTGGTATGGGGTCATGCATTTGGTTCAAATGAACATATTGTAATAATACGCGATCCTACAATATTCAGGGATCGTTGTCTCGGTTGAAATCGAGTCTAAAGTTATAAAATTGTTGTATAGCTCCCTCTCACGGTCAAAAATATTAATTGAGCTATAAAACAATGTTTATTGACTAAAATCGACCGATTAGCTATTCCCCTTTGGAAATTATATATTACAACTACATATTCTGAAATTTCCATGGTCGCAGCTACTATTGTTTTTTTATACGGCCATAGGCGCTATTTGAAATTCATCAACATTTACATGAAGCACCGATACATTTTTTAATTCAATTTTTCTCGAAAGCAGAGGGGTTTTTTTAGGGGCTAAATTTTCTAGTGCTTATAAAACATCCACAGGGCATCCACATCAAAATTGTAAAGAATCACTTTCCAG